ATGCTGAGGACAACCCCAGCCCCTCTGACCTTCCTGCTGTCACCAGTGTGGTGATGAGGATCCGGTAGCGCCCCAGGTGCTCTTTGCTCGGGTACACATAGCTGCTCTGATCATCGTCCCAGTTGCAGCAGGGCTGGAACACAGGCATTGGGTGAGGTCCCTCTCTCCTGGAGGGCTGCCAGCCCAGCTGTGCCGTGGGGTGCAGGGACCTACCCTGATATCAGCAGGCACCTCCTGGTAGCTCCTGGAGCTGGCAATAAGCCTGTAGACGTACCGAGGGGCGATGTCCGTGATAAGGCGCTGGCACAGCAGGTCAGCAGCACTGTTGGAAGGGGCACAGGCCAAGATCCGTGCGTCCTTGAAGCACGTCCACACCTGCGTGGGAGGAGGAGGAGGTGACAGCACTGACCCCATGGCCAGCAATGCCTGGGGCTGTGCCAGGGCACCAGCTGCTCACCTGTTTGATGGCCTCCACTACAGTGACTGTTTTGCCAGTGCCAGGGGGGCCGAAGATGAGGTATGGGGCTGGTCGGGACATCCCCGACACGATCTGGGTCACAGCTCTGCACTGCTCCTCGTTCGCCTGCAGCCTGCGGTCGAACCACCTGCGGGAGCAGAGACTGAGCTCTGGGTCCCTGTCCCCTCAATCCCCTCAGACCCTCCCACCCTTCGGGCACGGGGACTCACTTGGGCTGGAAGTTGCCTGAGACCAGGGACTTTTGGCAGGAGGCAGTGGGGAAGAGCAGGCTGGACAAGCCGTGGCGCATGGCCAGGTCTGCAGCCCTGTGCTGCACCTGCAGTGGCAGCCGGTTGAAGGTGAAGGTCACGTCAAACTTCATGTTCTTCACAAACTTCTCCTGCAGCCTGGGAAGGAACAGTGTGAGCAGGGCACAGGGACACTCTCCCACACCCTCCCTGGCCCTTCCCAGCCTATTCCTGGCCTTTGGCATCTCTGAGCGGGGCTGCTGGGGCTGGACACCACTCACTTGGAGGAGAAGCCCAGCCTGACCCTCTCCAGCTCCACTCTGTGCACGTAGCCCTTGTACTGGACGCGTGGAGAACGGTCCCGCTCGCTGCTCAGGTGGGCAAAGAGGTGATCCCCCCTCAGCACGGACGGGCGGTTCTCGGCCACGCCGGGCACCTGTGCCAAATGGTTGGCATGATTCAGACACCCTGGGAGCCCCAGCACCCCTCCCAACCCCCTGGATTCCCCTACATACATGGAGGACCAGCAGTGCCCTCTCCTGCACCATGGTCACATCCTGCATGTCGTAGCGCCGGATGTCCACCTCCATCTGGATCTCCTCCAGGTGCAGCAGCAGCTGGAACTTTTTTTGGTAGTTCTCAATCTGCAGAGGTGCCTCCAGCAGTGATCTGCAGGCAGCAGGGATGGCACCATGCCCCAGGGACACCTGGGCCCTCAAGGAACACCTCGAGGTTGTTCCCAGCCCTCGGCACTCACCGCATGGAAGCATAGCTGGAGCTGCCACTGGTGTTGGGGCCGAGCAGGATTGTGTCCTTCAGTGTCTTTGGGTAGTGGTAGGAGCCAAGAGGCTCTTCCCTCTCTAGTTTGTTTTCCAGGGAGCTGGATGGAGGGGACAGCAGTGCTGCAGGGACCGTAGGGCTGGGCTCCCCCCAGGCCACGATCACCCCAGAAAGCAGAGTGTCCCCAGCCCTGCTGTCCCCAGCCATCACATGGGGATGAAGCAATGTCCCAGGGCTCCAGACAGCTGCGTCCCAAGGAGCTGAGCCGTGTCCCAGCCAGAGAGCAGGATGGCAGCAGGTGGCTCTGCCACGTACCTGTCAGGGGGGACGCCGTCCTCGGTGATGACGGTGACAGGTTGATGTAGGCTGGCCTGGTAAGGCTGGAAAGGTGCTGAGGGTCCCAGGTCCTTGGCCAGTTGGCTCTCAGCAACGGCAGAGACATTGCGTGAGATGCTGAAGGGCTCAGCTGGCTCCTTGGTGAACTCAAAGACCAGCAGGGCATTGAAGAACCCATTGCAGGTGGCCAGGCACCGCACCTGGATGGGGTATGTGCTGTCTGTGGGGCGAAGAGGTAAGAGTTGGGTCCTGCATCCCCTCCAGCAGGGCAGGGGATCGGGCAGGGGGTGAGACCCTACCTGGACGCAGCACCAGGGACTGGCCCTGCATCGCCCCTAGCTCGTCGGTGAAGGAGAGCTCCGGTGACCGATGGTGTGGCTGGCA